TGTGTATTGTTAAATGTATTTTCTTTTCAAATATCAGCATAAATGAAGACTCCTGTCATTTAATCCCTGAAAGTAGCCCTGGTCTTCACACAGTGGGTGGAAACACACACTCAATGAGATTGTGAAATAATCTGAAGAAATCTAAGCACTCATTCACTTAGGACTCTTTCAGTTGAAGTCACCCCTCAACTATTACTAAAATGGAGGCATATTGAATACAGATCCTGGCTCAGAGATGGTAAATCCAGTGTGGGAAACAGAAGGAAAAGTTGGTACTACTGTGAATGCTGATCATCATCTAGGCAAAGGGCCAGAAAACTGCTGAGATATGAATTATAATCTGCTGAGGGGTTTCTAAAATAAGGTAGGTAACTAGCTCAAATAAAAAGCTAACTATTCACCAGTGTCTAAACGAAGGCATATAATTTTGCTACCAAAGTAGAGAGAAAGATAGGAATATTGACAGTAGAATGAGTGGAACATGACTTTCCTGTGTTCTTATCCGAAGACATGACCAGTATAACTCCACATCAGGTACAACCATAAGAATCGGAAGTTATACTCTATGTATATATGAAATGTCAAAATCCATTCTACTGTCATGTATAACTAAAGAGAACAAATTAAAAAAAGAGAAGAATATCAATTAAATTCAGCCAATGCTACAATAATACATTACTGTCTGTTTAGTGTTTATAATGTCCAATTACAGTCTGACTCTCAATTATTTAGGTATCTTCCAGGTACTTCTGAGTTAAATCCATAGATAAAAAGAATGTTAGAGTAACTTATGAGAACTTAAAGTTTGGTTAATCTACAGTTACCCGAGTTTTGGATTTCACAGATTGATAGAACTTTAAAAATGAATTTGGAAGACCTAACTTTTTATGTACTTGCTATGGTTTGAGTGTGCCTTCCAAAGGCTCATGTGCTGAAAACTTGGTCCCCAGCGAAGCAGGGTGGAGAGGCAGGGGGACCTTTAAGAGGTGGGGCCTAGTGGAAGGTAGTTTGGTCATTGGAGATGTCACTCTCAGAGGGACTAATGTAGTTCTCAGAGATCCCAGTTCCCATGATAGTGAGTTATTACAAGGGCAAGCCTGGCCCCTGATCCTTCTGGCTTCCTGTTTCACCATGTGACCTCTTCCATATGTGCTTCAGCCATTGTGATGCCAACCACCACAAGGCCTTCTCCAGAGGCCAAACAGATGGGGCTGTCAGATCTTGGACTTTCAGCCTCATAAACTGTGAGCTAAATACACACTCTTTACTTAATTAAGTGTCCTGCGTTTGGCTTTTTTGTGAGAGCAACTGTTTTAGTCAGCTTTTTTCACTGCTGTGACTAAAAGACCCAACCAGAACAATCAAAAAGGAAAAAAAATTATTTGAGGGCTCATAGTTTTGGAGGTCTTAGTCCATAGAAGTCTGGCTCCATTCCTCAGGGCTCAAGGTGAGGCAGAACATCAGAGAAGAGTATGGAGGGGAAAGCAGCTAACATAATGATCAGGAAGCAGAGAGAGGTCTCCACTTGATAGATACAAATGCATATCCCAAAGCCAAGCCCCAATTCCCACCTCCTCCAGCCACACTCTACCACTTTAGTTACCACTCAGTTAATCCCTATCAGGGGATTAATTCACTGATTGCATTAAGACTCTCATAACCCAATCATTTTTCCTCTCAACCTTCTTGCATAGTCTCACACATGAGCTTCTGGGGGACACCTCACATCCAAACCAGAACACCAACAAAATATGGATTTCTATATTACTAAAATAAAGAAATTGAAAACACTGATAATCCATATCTATAATTTATATCTCAAGTGAATTATAACAGAGGTTACCAGTATTTTAATAGAAATAGATCAGCTTTATCAAGAAATCACTACTCCATTTTTGTTTTATTTTATCTAGATCAACCTATGAAAAATTAAAATTCCTTCTCTGTCTAGCACCAGATGGCTTTGAGGACCACTTATTTAAATCACACTCACTGTCTCACTTCATAAGCAAGGAAATTGAGGCCCCAGTGACCACATGCATTGTCCATTATCTAGAGAAAGGCTTCTGAATCCAAGTTCAATGCACCTGCTGTCTGCCCTGTTTTCCTGGATGCCTAAAAGAGCCAGTGAGGGCCCCCAACTCTTTGCTGATATGATGGGCAGCATACTATCCTGCAAACCATAAGGGAGGGTGGATGAGCAAACAAGAGACTGTTCTCTCTGCTGCCCTCTGGGAACTGTATTCCTTATCTGGTGTGTTAGTCAGCTGTTTGTGACTGTAACCAAAATACCTGACATAACAACTTTGAGGAAGAAAGGTTTATTTTGGCTCACAGTTTCAGAAGATTCAGTCCATGATCAGCTGATTCCATTGAGGTGAGGCAAAGGTCATGGTGGAAAGGTAGGGTGGAGGAAATTTGCATAGCTCATGATAGTCAGGAAGCAGAAAGGGAAAAAGGAAGGGGCCAGGGATAAGATATAGTCCCCAGGACCTGCTTCCTCTTACCATGCCCCACATGCCTACAGTTTCCACCATCTCCCAGGAGTCCATTCAAATTATTAATTCATCAGATGAATTAATCCACTGATGAGGTTAGAGCCCTCATGATCTAGCCACTTCCCCACCTCTGGACATGCCGCCTTCAACATATGAGATTCTGGGGACACTTCATATCCAAAGCTTAACATCCGGATTGTCAGACGAACTCTCCCTCAAATCTAGCACTCCCGATTCTCAGGTACACTTTGGTTAGGCACATTGATTCTTTCAGACCATTGGAAAATACTTTGTGCAGCACTAATTCTTATAACAACCATCCTTCTGCCTCCCCTCTCCATAAGGACTGTTTCAGGACTTGTGGATTTAATTGCTTATGTTTTTAGAGAACTGAATATTATTTCAAAAGTATTTCAGGATGTTCAAAGTTTTGTTGCAAAGTCAGAGTTTAAATTAAAATAAAATAAAGATTCTCCGGTGCTGGTAGAATACCTCATTTGGGAATTTTAGTTTTAAGCTACAGAAACTGACTCTGGTTTATTTCTGTGGAAAAGAACTAAATGAAAAAGGATGTTGGGTGGTTGGCAGAATTGGAAACTTAGACTTGGAGACTGCATTGCTGAGAATAACTACCAAAATCATACCTAAAGACCTTTGGTGCCACTGGTGGTATGAGAGGCTACCAACAATGCTGGCTGACAGGTGCTTCTAGAACTTCTGCAGCTGCCGCCACCCGTCATCAAAATGGATGTTGCCCTGTTCCTCTTTCCTCAGATCAGAACCTTCTAGCTTAAAGCCTGGGCTATGATCATCTGATTAGCAGAGCCCAGACCTGAGCTGCAAGGGAGTCAGGGAAGTTGAGTCTTTAATTTTTGTCCTTTATTATACAAAGCAAGCTTTTCATCAAGAAGGTAGGGGATTCCCGAAGTGTAAAATGCTGGGCAGCCAAAAATAACAAAAGAAATGACAAGAATTTCTTTCAAATTAACACCTCAGGAAGTTGGAGAAGCAGAAAATCTCTGTAATAGCAATAAATAAAATCTATTGCCTTCTGCCCATATTTAACAATTATTCATATATTTTGTTTCTTGCTTTAGAGAATCCTATCCTAACAGATGCTCAGTACCTGTTGATGAATACCTTTGGGTACTTCACAGCAACTTGTTGGAATTCTCTTTTTCTTAGGTGAGTGTGTCGAACCCAGCGTCCTTCTGGGGCCTTCTAAGCTGTGACAGGATGGGGTGTATCTGGCATTTACAAGCTAGATAGGGATGCGCTGAGTAGGTTCTTCCAGGACAGGGCTTGTTCAGGGCTTGTAAACCACATTGGAGAATTCTCCAGGTGGAATTTCATTTCTGTCATTAAAGTCATTATTTTTCCTTTCTGTCATTTACTTTGGGTTCACTCTACCCAAAGTCCTCACAAGTGGAGAGTAGTATGAAGTCATTCAATAATGTATGTTTCTCAGATCCCTAGGTGGAGTCTCCAGGCAAGAAGAATTCAAAGTGGGCCTTTCCCAAGACACAGAATGCCCGCAAAAGCTGACACTGGATCAGGTTTCCCAAACCTTCCCACTAAAATGCTCCTGAAGGCTGACAGTGAAAGCAAATAAACCCAGGAAAGGGTGTGGATAGAAGAAAGACTAAAATCTCTTCTAACTCAAGTTTCTTCTTTCAAATCCATGGATTTTGGTAACACACCAGTATCTCTCCATGGGGAATATGCTGTGTGCAGCCTGGATTTTGGACCCTGGAGCAGGAGTACCACCATTTAAAGTTGCCAACAGTTTCTGGAGCTGAGATAGAGGCTCTAAAGGCATTGGAAGACTCCATGTATTTTGAGAGACCCAACCAGGAGGGGTGTTTGGGCAACACATGTGAGCTAGGACATGACCATCATTCTGAGGGAGATTCTGAATCCTCTGTGTGCCCTGGTTAGTACCAGAGTAACTATACCCCTGCAAAGTAAGAACTCCTATTTTGTTTTTCTCCCTGAATGTGGCTTTAGCCTTGGCAGGAAAACTTTGCTGTGCTTGGGCAATATTTGTGTGTCTTGCTTACAGGAAGTCAGCAGCCAATGCTGGACTCTTCCCAAGGACCTGGTCTCTTCCTCACCTCCCACTGCAGGGAGATGGTGACAAGAACCAGCCCAGATGTGGCATGGTGCAACCTGGACTGATTTTTTAAAAAAAAATGTGATGTAGTAAGTATAACACAAATATGATCATTTAATTCATTTGTAAATATGCAGTTCTGTGGCATTAAGTATATTTATATTAATGTGCAACCATTCACCAGGATCTATTTCTGGAATTTTTGAAAAGTCTTTCTACCTGAAATTTTCTCTGAACTCATTAAACATTACCTCCCAATCACACCTCTCACCAATCCCTGGGAACCACTATTCTACTCTGCCTCAATTAATCTTCTAGGTACTCCATATAAATGGAATCCCATAGCATTTGTTCTCTTGGACTGATTCTTTATGGCACCTGAGACTTACCAAGCTGAATCTTGTGAAATGCTTCATAATTTTCTCCAACTGGCAAGTACGTGACCAGACCCTAGGTCAGAGTGGATGTTTCCCTATGAACAAATGGATGTTTCTGTTATTAGTCATCCTAAAGAATAATTCAATCCCAGAGTAAGAGAAAAATGGGGGGACTGAAAATAGGGAACAATAACTTTTCTCTCTGGGGCTTATTTGGCCTTCATTCCAAGCTGTAGTCATATCTAGGTATTCTCATAGAGGGCAGAGAGGTTTAAGGTGGTATAGTGATACCTTGCATCCATGGAAGGAAGACTCTTGGGAGGAGTACCATGATCTCCAAGGCAGGTAAACCCTTCTAGTGCAGGTATATGTTAGCCTCTATGTTAGTCAGTTTTTCATTCATCACTGTGATCAAAATACCCGAGAAGAACAACTTAGAGGAAGAAAAGTTTATTTGGGGCTCATGGTTTCAGAGGTTTAGTTCATGATTGGCCAACTCCAGTGCTCTGGGCCTGCAATAAGGAAAAAGAGTATAGCAGAAAAAAGCTTCTTAGCTCATGGCAGCCAGGAATTAGAGAGAGGGAGAGAGGAGCCAGGGACAAGATAGAGTCTAAGGCCACACACCTAATGACCTCCTTCCTCCAGCCACATCCCACCTGCTTACAGTTACCACCCAGAACATTATTCTGTTCAAATTATTAATCCACCAAATGAATTAATCTATTCTAATAACCCAATCATTCCACCTCTGAACATTCCTGCATTGTCTGACACAAGAACTTTTAGGGAGACACCTCATGTCTGAACCATAACACTCTCTGTGTGGTTTCTCACTTATTTTCAAGTCTCAGGTATACTTTTCCTTACAGTCAAGCACACCTCTCAGTTGAGCTGTGTAGAATGAGCGAGGAATACATCTTTTTCATATGGTCGAGTATGGGAGGCATTGGGCATCATTAGCCAAAGACACTAGACTTGATGGGACAGATTTGTCATGAACTTACAGAGATCCGAAGCTTCACAATTGCAGGAACACAAAGAACAAAAACAAGGCAAGATGTCTTTGTGTGCAGTATTGTATGCAATTCTTTCAAGAATCCTTAGCAATTCCATCAGGAAGCCTGGTGTGAAGTTACGACATCATAATTTTGATCTTAGAATTATATTCTGCTTTTTGGACACAGGATTATGAGACCAGGGACACTAAATTAAACGTGTTTGACTTGATATGATGGCCATGAAAATTATTTTTCATGAACTAAAGCTGTCCCTCAAGGAGCACATGCAGTGTGTGTACCTCTACTCCTCCCCCAGCTAGGTGTGCTCTAGTTGAAAACGCAGAACTCTTGCTTAATTATGAAATGCAAATAAAACTTTATCTTGTGCTCAAAATATTAACAATTTATATTTTAAGGTACACCATGTTTTCCATTTTTTTGAAACTGAAGTCAGAACTGATATCTTGGGGACTATATCAACTTTGTGCCTCAGCTCATAGCAGGTAGGAACTAGAAAAAGGGAGAGAGGAGCTAGGGACAAAATATGGTCAAAAGCCACACTCCCAATGACCTACTTCCTCCAGCCACATCCCATACCCAGCCACAGTGCAAGCATTAAGTCAGCAGTCATTTGGAAGGAGAAACAGGGATTGCAGCAAGTAGTAAATATTAAACCATGTAGTAAAAAATAAAATTATGAAAACTGGGTTTTAGTATTTATGAAAAGTGATGGGCTGGAGGTAAAGTGCTCATAGAGAAGTCATGACTTCAGGACTTCTGGTGCAGCAATAGATTTCTAATCATGACTTGCAAAATCCTAAAGATAATAAAAATCTTCTTTCTATTGCCCTTTATTATCTCTACAGTGTTCACAACTATCATCTCCTGTCTGTCTTTACACTGACTCTGTGGGAGAGGTCTTCATAAATTATTCTCCCTCCTTTATAGGCAAAGGAATTAAAGCTTAGAGAGATTAAATAATAAGCCCAAGGCTCTAAAATTACTGTGGCCAAGGCAAGGTGAGAGCCTCTGTCCTGCTTTCCTCCAAGTTCATGCTTCTGTTGACGGCCTAGGTACCAGACTTCTCTAGGACATCTTTGCCAACCTTATAGCCATCCATGGAGTCTTTGAAGAGCCAGTTGGTCTATAAATGGGCCTGTTTGCATCTCAGATTCACTCATCTTTAGAGTGCTGTCTTTTACCACTTCAGCCCAGGCTGATCCCCACCTTCAGTAAAATTCCACCACACTTAGAATCAGCACCACACCATGGAGCACGTGATCAGACACTTTTTGGAAATATTTGCTTCTTCATATTTGCCAATTACAGGGTGAGCTTTCTGAGGAGTAGAGGTCTAGCTGCATTTCTTTATTTTTCTATGGTGTTGTCCACAGCAAGTAGGGCCAGGACAAATGGGCAAAGGAACTGAACAGGCACCTCACAGAAGAAATATGATCCGTCAACAAATATATAAAAAATGTTCAACATCTTTAGCAATTAAAGAAATGCAAGTTAAAACTACACAGAGATTTTATCTCAGTCCAGTCAGAATGGCAATTATGAAGTTTACAAGTAACAATAAGTATTAATGAGGATTTGGGAAAAGGTACACTCATACATTGCTGGTGGGATTGCAAATTGGTGCAACCACTCTGGAAAGCAGTATGGAGGTTCCTCAGAAAACTTGGAATGGGCCAGGAGCCATGGCATATGCCTGTAATCCCAGCAGCTCAGGAGGCTGAGGTAGGAGAGAGAACCATGAATTCAAATTCAGCCTCAACAACTTTGCAAGGCCCTATGCAACTCAGCAAGACTCTGCCTCTAAATCAAACATAAAAAGGGATAGGGATGTGGTTCAGTGGTTAAGCGCCCCTGGGTTCAATCCCCAGAACAGAAAAAAAAAAAAAAAAAAAAACTTGGAATGGAACCACCATTTGATATAGTTATCCCACTCCTCAGTACATACCCAAAGGATTTAAAATCAGTATACTATAGTGAAACAACCACATCAATATTTACAGCTGCTTAATACACAACAGTGAAGCTATGGAACCAAACTAGGTGCTCTTCAACAGATGAATGGATAAAGAAAATATGGAATATGTACACAATAGAATACCACACAGTCATAAAGAAGAATGAAATTATGGCATTCACCAATAAATGTACTGGAGACTATCATGATAAGTAAAATAAGCCAGTCTTCAAAAAACCAAAGGCCAAATGTTCTCTCTGATATGTGGGTGCTAACACAAATAAGGTGGTGGGTAAAGAAGGACAGAATTCATTGGATTAGACAAAGGGGAATGAAGGGGAGGGAGGGAGGATGGAAATGGGAAAGACAGTAGAGGGAATTGGAAATAAATTTCCTATGTTCATATATGAATACACAGCCAGTGTAACTCCACATCATGTTCAACCACAAGAATGGAAAGTTTTACTCCATGTATGTATAGTATGTCAAAATATACTCTACTGTCATGTATATCTAAAAAAATAAAATGACAAAAGAAATAGATTTTAATCCATGAGCCACAATATTTTATACCACTGAATTTCTATAATTTACTGAATTTTTATAATCCTAAATGAAGGAACTATATTACTTCAAGAAAGGGGTAGGTTAAGACAAGAAATAAGAACATTTTCTTATCTATATCAACAAGCCCCCATTTTTAAAATACATTTATTTTGTTTATTTGTTTTATGTGATGCTGGGGAATGAACCCAGTGCCTTGTGCATGCTAGGCAAGCACTCTACCACTGAGCCACCACTCCAGCCCCCCATTTGTTTTTAAAGCAGAAATGTGAAACTCATTTGTGCAAAGCTCAAGTTCCTAAGAGATATTCTGCAATGGAAGGAGATTAAATATTAGTTATTAAGTAGAAATTCTGGAGGGATGTTATCCTCACCCAGGGAGATCAGTTTTTTATAGTTCTCTAACATGACTTCCCTATAGAAATTCTGCTGGGCAGGTCCAGGCATTCCCACTTCTCTGGAGAGAGATCAGTGGCCAAATCACTGAATGTCGACAGTTTCATTTCCTGGTTTCTGGTGTGTCCCAGCATCCTCAGCACCAATCCCCAGCACAGTTTCCTATCAGGGTGCCCAGTCTTCTTCCCACAGATCTTTCAGTACCCGTGTGGCTAAGAAACCTGGCCTTCCCGAGAATAAGAGAAAGAGCCCAGGGATGGATCCAAAGAATCTGTCCATTTCATCTTCTACACACCAATTATCACTGCTACTGTGCTATTTAATTACTTACATGTTTATGGCGTCTCTCCTACTCAAGTGAAAACTCTGAGAGAACAAGGCCATTCTTGCGTCTTTATATCTAGAACATATAGTAGGTGTTCAATAAATATTGGCTGAATGAAGGAATGGAGATCTAACCAGGGCTCCATTTGGTTGTCTGCCCATTTGCATCAGAATCACCGAAGATGCTTGTCAAAAATGCAGGTTCTTGGTTCTCATCTTAGAGAGGAAATTTGGTTAGGCAGAGACACCAGAGACATGTATATGTGGACAAAAGACCATGTAAGGACCTAGCAAGAAGGTGACCATTTGCAAGTCAATGACAATGGTCCCAGAAGAAACCAAATCTGCTAACACTGTGATATTGGATGTCAAGTTTCCAGAAATGTGAGACCATTAATTTCTGTTGTTTCAGACTCACTATCCACCCCCACTCTCTCCTCTGGTTTGCAGTAGTTTATCATGGCAGACTTCATATGAAGATCTACCATAGAGCCCAGAGGCTGGGAAATACGTTTTACCATTTCACATATGTGGGATGTCTTAGGTCTTCATGTGGACTGAGCTGTCCTTTAGGTTATGATCTTTCCTGGGTCTTCTCTCTTGGGAGAATCCCAACTTCACTAATAAATCCCTCCATGTTGACAATGCCCAAATCCCCAGGTCTGTCTTCTCCAGGCCTGTATTTCAACTTTGTCTCCAGCTGGCTCATTGTCACCAGTGAATCCAAACAGGAATCCATTGTCTGGATTTCCAAACCCACTCCTCCTTCCTATGAGCAGCATTCTCATTCTCTCCTGCAGGCTTGAAAAGGCGGATGTCTATGAATAGTTCCTTCCTC